GGCGGGGGGGGGGGGAGAGATCTCTAGAGGCGGGGAATTGAGATCTCTAGAGGCGGGGAGAGAGATCTCTAGAGGCGGGGGGAGATCTATAGAGGGGGGAGACATCTATAGAGCGGAGAATTGAGATCTCTAGAGGAGGGGGAGAGAGATCTCTAGAGGCGGGGGTCTATAGAGGGGGGAGACATCTATAGAGGCGGGGAATTGAGATCTCTAGAGGCGGGGAATTGAGATCTCTAAAGATCTCTCCCCTTACCTCTAGAGATCTAAATCCCCCGCCTCTAGAGATTTCTCTCCCCCTCCTCTAGAGATCTCTAGAGGCGGGGGAGAGAAATTTGAAGAAAAAGAAGAGAATGTTAAAGAAAGAAGATAGAATATAGAGAGAAAAAGAGGAAGAAAAACTCCCAGTCAGATCATACGAGGGTGCGGCAGACAGCAAGTATCCCAGGGGCACCACGAGGAGGTAAGGCTCGGAGGATTTGGGTTTCCGCCCCCATTTAATCCGGAGAGACGCTCTCCGCATTAAATGAAGTCAAAGAATTAAATAAGACGCCCGATTGTCGTATTACATTGTTGTTATTTATATTGTCGATTGTTTATTGTTTCGTAAATCGGTATATTGATATTTTTGCAATTTATAAATCAAATTATTGGCAATTATATCAATGTGTAATGAATGAATTAAATCATTGCAGATAATTTGTTAATTCATTCCAACAACAACGTTTTCCATTGCAACTTCTTATTTTGTTTTAAATTTACATAAACTCATAAGTTCAGGATAAACATTCACTTTTTCTAAACATATTTCTTCTGTCATTGTCTTAATGGTAATCACAAGTAAAGGGTTAATAACTCTTGTGCTTTTTGTCGAAAATTTTTGAAATTTTGCAGGGAGAGTTTGTGTATCGCGGGAATTGATTGAATTAAATTTTGGTGGTTAATGTTCGAGAAGGTTGGGAGATAATGGGATCGTGTGTATCTCCATTAGGGTCGGACCTAGTGACGATTTTACTCGTTATTAGCATTTACAATTTTTTTTTTATTTCTAAACTCAATCCTACTTTGAAAATTAAGCTTTTTGTCATTCGATAATAATTAAAAATATAAAAAATTATTTAAAAAAACTAACAGCGTACTGAGTATTGTACGGATCAGAATGATCCAAGGACTATAAATAATCAATCATATGGCTGAGAGTAAAGCTCTTTCAAGAGTTGGAA